GGCTGGGGGCGGCGCGTGTGCAAGGCGGGGGCACGTGGAGAGGGGCGCGCGCGCGCACAGGTGTGCAAGGCGGGGCCGCTCTCACACCTGGGGGGGGGCACGCTCGTGTGCAAGGGCGTGTCTGCCCCCCCCCCCGGGGCCGTCTCCTCCCCGTGACCTTCAGGGGGACACGGGGGGGACACGGGTGGCCGCTGCCCCTCCCCCACCCAGAGGCCCCCCTAAAGCCCCCCCGGGGGGGCTCAGAGGGCTGGGGGGGGCGATCCCCCTATAGACCCCCCCATAGACCCCTCTGACCCCCCCGGGGTGTCCCCTGGGTCTGGGGGCTCCTCAATTCCCCCAGAGCCCCCCCAAGTTCCCCCAGGACCTCTCTGAGGGGGCCCAGGTGTCCGTGCGCCCCCTCCCCCCCTTTATCAACCATCAGCGATCGATAATTAATTAATTAATGACCCCCGGGGGGGGGTACGGACATCCATGGAGGGGGAGGGGGGGTCCCAGACCCGGGTCCCTCCCCCCGAGGGTCCCTGGGGGTCTCTGGGGGTTCCCCCCCAGCCTGGGCCCCCCCACGGGATGGGGGTGGGGGGTGCCAAGGTGGGGGTCGCTGTCATCCCCCCCCTCCCCCCCCACAGGTGCAGCAGTTAATGTGATTGGCTAATTATGCGCTGCATGTTAATGAGCCCCATTAGCCAACGAGGGGGGGTTATAAATAACCTGGGGGCTCATTTGCATAATGCCAGGGCCCGGGTTGCCGCGGTGACCGACCCCCCCCTTCCCCCCCCTCATCACGGGGTTAATTAACGTGCTGATAACGAATGGGGGGGGGAAGGCCCACTTGCCCATCCCCCCACACCTGGCTGTCACCCCCCGCCTTGCAGAGCCCCCCCTGTTGGGGTGCACGTGTAGGGAGGAGTGTTGAACTGGGGGCACGAGAGCGTGCAAGGGGTGTGAGCAGTTTTGGGGTGCACACGAGCGTGCAAGGGGTGCGTGAGTGGTTTTTGGGGTGCAAAGCAGTGTGTGAGGGAGCTGCGCCCAGTATTGGGGTGCACACGAGCGTGGAAGGGGGTTTTGTGCAATTTTGGGGTGCACACGAGCCTTCAGGGGGGTTTTGTGCAATTTTGGGGTGCACACGAGCCTTCAGGGGGTCTTTGTGCAATTTTGGGGTGCACACGAGTCTGCAGGGGGGTTTTGTGCAATTTTGGGGTGCACACGAGCGTGCAGGGGGGCTTTGTGCGGTTTTGGGGTGCACACGAGCGTGCAGGGGGGCTTTGTGCGGTTTTGGGGTGCACACGAGCGTGCAGGAGGTGTGTGTGCAATTTTGGGGTGCACACGAGTGTGAAAGAGGGTTTTGTGCAATTCTTGGGGTGCACACGAGCCCGGCCGTGTTTTGGGGTGCGCGTGTGCAAGCCCGGGGCGCACACGCGTGTGCAAGGGGGGGCTCAGGCCAGGCTGGTGTTTTTTGGGGNTTGCAGAGCCCCCCCTGACTGTCTCTCCCCCCCCCCAGGTGCCTCCGGACCCCCCGGCCAGGCTGTCGCCGCCCGCTGGGGCCACCCATGTGGCTGTGAGAGGACGGGGGTGGCCGGGCCCCCCCCAGGGCCCCCCCAGGGCCCCCCCAAAGCCGCCCAGGCTCCGCAGCCAGCCCAGGCGCCATGACCTGTCCGGCCGCTGAGGGACACCCGGCACCCGGGGGCCACCAAGAGACCAAAGCCCACCTGGGCTCCGTGGCCCACCTGGGCCCCCTGCACGGCTCCACGGTTCCTCAAGGTTCTGAGGGTCACCAAGAGACCAAAGGCCACCTGGGCTCTGTGGCCACCAGAGGGTTCACGGCCAGCTGGACCTCTGCGGTCAGCCAGGACCACCGAGAGACTACGGCCCACCTGGGCTCTGTCACCCACCTGGGCTCCCACGTGGAGATTGAAGCTCACCTGGGCTTTGTGGCCAACCAAAACTTCGTGGGCAAGCAGGACCACCCCGAGCCCGGTGCTGGTGGTGGCTCCGTGGTGCTGTTGGACTCCAAGACCTCCCAAGGCTCTGAGGAACACCTGGGGGCTCGGGTCGGCCAGGTCCCCGTGACCCACCTGGCGTTCGTGGCCACCCAGGACCACCTGGAGGTGGAGGTGCGTCAGGAATCGGCGGCCAGCCGAGGTTCTGTGGGCAACCAGGAGCACCCAGAGCCTGACATCAACATCCCGTTGGACTCCAAGGTCAACCAGGCCTCCATGGCTCACTTAGACCTGAAGGGCCACCAAGACCCCGCCCCCTCCCCGGCCTCCGAGGACCCCCAAGAGCCCAAGGTCACCCAGGGTCCGGTGGCCAACCAAAAGACCAAGGTCAACCAAAGCCCCGCGGCCCCTCTGGAGGCCAAGGTCAATGAAGACCCCGTGTGTTTAGACTTGAGGGTCCACCAAGCCCCTGTGGCCACCCAAGCCCCCGAGGACCCCCGAGACCCCCTGGACCACCCGGACAGTCAGGCTGACCAAGCCCCGCTGGCTCTTACAGACTGGAACATCCGCCAAGCCCCCATGGCCGAGCACAGCCCCGCGGACCCCCAAGAGACCAAGGTCAAGCCCGGCCCTCCGGACCCGAGGGTCCCCCTGGACACCACGGCCAAGGGAAGCTGCCCGGGGACCAAGTGCCACCAACCCCACGTGCCCACCTGGGCCACCCCAGCCCCCCGCCCATGTGCCCAAATCCCCTCGGGCGCCCGCCTGGGCCTGGTGCTGCTGACGCTGGGGTCCCTCCTGCTGCCCTGCGCCCGGGGCTCGGCGCTGGAGTTCGGGGGCGCCCCGGGGCAGTGGGCGCGCTACGGGCGGTGGGCGCCGGGCGCGGGGGGCCAGCTCAGCTTCCGCCTCAAGACCAACGTGACGCGGGCGCTGCTGCTCTACCTGGACGACGGCGGCAACTGTGACTTCCTGGAGCTGCTGGTGGCCGAGGGGCGGCTGCGGCTGCGCTTCGCCATCGCCTGCGCCGAGCCCGCCACGCTGGAGCCGCCGGCGCCCGTCAGCGACGGCCGCTGGCACGCGGTGCTGCTGACCCGGCAGGCGCGGCACGCGGCGCTGGCCGTGGACGGGGAGGCGCGGGCGGCCGCCGTGCGCTCCAAGCGGCCCGACATGGCCGTGGCCAGCGACCTGTTCGTCGGGGGGATCCCGCCCGACGTGCGGCTCTCGGCGCTGACGCTCAGCACCGTCAAGTACGAGCCGCCCTTCCGCGGGTGGGTGGCCGACCTGCGGGTGGGCGACGCGCCGGCCGCGCTGCTGGGCGCCCAGGGGGTCCGGGGTGACGGGGACGAGCGCTGCGCCCACCACCCGCCCTGCGCCCACGGCGGCCGCTGCACCCTGCGCCGTGGGGAGCCCCGCTGCGACTGCGCCGGCACCGGCCACCGCGGGCCCTTCTGCGAGGAAGGTGAGGGCGCGGCGGGGGCAGAGGGGCAGGGCTGAGGGAGGGG